AGTTTCCCCAATGTTTCTATCATTTAGATTTTCCAAAGTATTCACTGTATAGATGTGCTATAATTTGTTTATCCAGGCACTAGTTGATGAACATTTGGCTTGCTTCCAGTTTGGGGTTATTACAAATAAATAGCTACAAATATTTAGTACGAGTATTTGCATGGAAATGTGTCCTCAGTTCTCTCGGGTAAACACCGACAAGTGAGATTGTGGGTTATATAGTGAATACATGTTTAACTTTATAGAAACTGCCAAATTGTTTTTCAAAATGGCTGTTTTGAAAAACACCAGCAGTGTTTTTCTAATTGTGTATCCTAATTGTGCCACATCCTAATAAACACTTGGGTCTTTCTGGCCTTTTTAAATTTAGTCATGGTAGGTGGTGATTAGTAGTACCTCAATGTGATTGTAATTTCTGTTTCCCTAATGACCAATGGTAATTTAAGCAACGTCACAGGATATTCAGTCAATGTACAAAAAAATAATTGTATTTTTATATACTAACAGTATACAATTAGAAATTGGAATTTTATATATAATTTACAATAGCATCAAAAAAATTACTTAAAGATAAATCTAATATGTGCAAGAGCACTCAAACTCTAAAAAGACTTTTTAATAGAAACTAATAATCTGATTATAAAATATGTATGGACATTCAAAAGTTCTAGAATATTAAAGCAATTCTGAAAAAGAAAAACAAAGTTGGAGGACTTACTCTAACTGATATGAAGACTTACTATAAAGCAACAATAACTAAGATAGCGTGGTATTGGCTTAAGAACTGTCATTTGGATTTTAGATGAAAAAGAATTTATCGTAATTAACAATACTTCTAAGACAATTAATTTTAATAATAAAAGCTTAAAATGGAAGAGAAAAGGTAGTTTAACTTTTGAATTATTNAAATTTAGTTTTGTTAATTTGACAAAAATGATTAATAATTCATAATTTTAAAATTTGTATTTCTTTAATTGCTAAAGAGACCATGCTTGTTTATTCTCCCTTCTTTCAAACACTAGTTTTATAATTTGTTTCATCTTCAGTGAAGATGTTCATTATCCTTTAACCACTTGGGGTCACTATTTCTTTATTTTCAGAGGCTCTCCACCAACCTGGAAAATCTGTTTGGTACCTGGTATGTTCATTTTTGTACTTTCTACAGGTTTGAAAATTCCATAATTTAAAAAACAAATTGAAAGCTTACTAATTTTTGGAATTCAGAACTGGTCTAAAAAGGGATGACAGCATATTCCTTCCCATTCACCTCCCTGTTTCATCAGCTCTCCCTCTCAGACAGTTTTTCGTATTGTCTGTGTATTGTAACACAGTAGAAAAAACAGGGACTTCAGAATCAAGAGAACTGCCTTAAGATCCAACTGTTAGTGTACTTCTTTGAGCTTTAGTTTTTCCAACTGTAAATACAGAGGACAATAAGGGTTGTTATTCCATATTTGAGACTCACCTGGGGCTCTGAACTCTACAGTATTAAAGCACCTACTACATTCTATATGGCAGAGTACCTTTTAATCTAAGTCACAGTTTGCCAAGAGCGTACAAATTTTTAGCAGGAAATTATATACATGTCTGTCTCAACTACAAAAAAAGTGCTCAATAAAGGTTTGTTGAAACAGGACTTAATATAAGAAAAAATCTCTAGTAGAACATGAGAAAATACACACCAATATAAAAACAAGAGAATGGCTTAAGTTTTTATTCTTTCAGATTCTTTCCCAGTTACTTTGAAAGCAGGTAACTAAAGCAAATTATAAATACCAAGTAGAATAACCCACATTAATTTATTAAGCAAGGTTGACACAGATTTAATCCATACAAAATGCCACACAGTGGCTGGCATACAATAAGTGCTGTTAGGTCATCTTCCTCACCTTTACCAATAGATTAAGCAACTACACATGCACTCCAATATCTAGCCGAAAACAGCTTCCTTGTTCTTTTTCCTGTGCCAAAAATTTTACCAAAGATAGACTCATTTGGGTCATAAAAAACATCTAGTCTTGGAAGGTTCCATATGAAAATGTGAGAAGCACTGGTAAGATAACACCTTTTAAGTCACTGTCAGCTAATTTATTATGAGAATTAGTGCCAGCTGCTTTCTAATTAATAAAGGCTAATGAACGCTTAGGAAATGTCAAGAGAAAAACAAAAAGAATAGAATGGAAAAAGAGTATAAACTTTATAAACAAAACCAAAGAAAACCAACATGTCTTTTGGTTTAAGCCTTTCACCTTGAGAGAAATCATTTTTAGGAGACTTAAATTTCACTTCACACACACACACACACCACACACACCACACCACACCACACCACACCACACCACACCACACACACACACACACACACACACACACACACACACACACACACACGGAAAAACTAAAAAGAAAATAAATTATTTCAGTAAACCAAAATGAGTAAGACAGTACAGTTATGATAAAGCACTAAGTTACATGGAAAAAGAATGAAACCAGAAACCCAGAAAAGACTACTACTTCTAAAAAAGCAAAAAGGAGTCAGACAAGACAGCAAGTTCAGAGAGGATACAGAATTTGGTCATCACTAATTGCAGGATGATCAGACTTTACTTCCCTCCTGGTGGGACACAATACAAAATGAGTAGCACCATCTGTGAAATTTT